AATAGAATAATCCAAACTTTTTCTTATTTAATATTTTAAAATTATTAATTGTTTGCTCAATTTTTATAGAAAGTGGATCCTAACGGAAGACCTACATTATCAGCACATCCAGGTAAATTATTAAGAATAACTACACTTTTATTAGATCCATATTTCTTATTTTTCAGAATAATTACAAAAAAGTAGATAATGTTTTTATACAATATATTTATGATATCTAATGTTTTTTATAGCTCGATTTTCTGTGGAAGATAAATATTCAAGAGAAAGGATTACAATGAAAAGGAGATTTGGTCTACTTTTAACACAAAAACCACTACCTAGCTATTAACATTATACAGATATAAAATCATGTTAGATTGGTTTAAGTTAGATTAGGTTAAATTTTATTGGAAAATGTAGACGTGTGTGCAAATGAAATGTATAATTGAAAGAACTTATACATATATACATATATAATAATACAATGTGGTTTTGTGCAAGCACATATAATAATCTATATCTCTGTCACCAGAGATAGTTCAACTTTTACACCTACAACTTCCTTTAGTGATAATTGACGGAAATGCATGTACAGACTCATACTAATGCATTCGGTACCATATAACTGTAATACGTATATAATGATTAAAGAATTTATTAATATAATTTAAATTTTAGATAAATAAATTTATTAATTTGTATAAAATATTGGATTGATCTGTTAATATAGGAAACAAAACCACATTTCTTACATATTATTTTTATACAGATACATATATTTACTATAAACAAATTTTATTTGCAGTTTTTTAACTGTATCTTCACATATTATTTATAAAGAATAAAAACTTTGTTCTATACAGTATTTCCTGACTTGCAATATATAATAGTTTTATTTAAAAAACTGTCCTATATATAACAAGACATACATATAACATATATGTATTATATATTACATATAAGAGCAGTCCCATTAGCTTAACATAAATAATATTCTTGTAGTTTCTATCAAATTACTACATGTATATGTATAACAAAAATTGGAATACAAAGCCAAAAATATAAATTCCAGCTGACTATCTTACAATTATATCCTCAACCTTTAACACATGTAGACTCATGATATATTATTTATGATTCTATTTATATTAAAAAATAATAAAAGTGATAATCTGCAATATACACAATTATATATACAAACTTTTATACATGTATCACATATAATATTAGCTATATACAGTATTCTTTGTTACAGTTAGAGTCATTTTTCAAACACAAATATTTAATAATAAGCTTTATTTATAATAACAATAATAATTATATAATTTCTTAAAGTGGTGATATTTATTTATGCATAATTAGTGAAATTTATATAACTTGATAAAATAAAATAAACATTAATAACTAATATCATCCAACATATATTGAATATTGAATTTAAAATATGGTTGCAGTTTGCTATGAGAATATCCTATAGAAATTTATATAAATTGTTAATTTTGTTTTTGCCTTTGATCGAAAAGAGATTACATTATTGCACATATTGGTTTATATATATACACATATTATAGTATATCTTATATTTATTTTTATAATATAGTATAAGTATAATATAATAACTTTGGTGAGTGTTATATGTGCATGTGTATGTATGCGCGCGCGTATCCCAAGTATTTTGAATTTTAATAATTATTAGATAAATAAAATACTTTTTTATATATAAAAAATTAGTATATAGACATAAATTAATTTAAAATAAACGTCGAACTATTTAGATAAATTGATTTTTAATACAAATTAGAAATGTTTAAATTAAATTTATTTTAATTTACTTAAAATGTAATAAAATAAAGATATTTCCCAAATATAATAATAAATATAATAAGTAGTATAAAATGTGTTTCTCTTATATGCATATAAAAGTGAGGTAACTAAGAAAAAACATAGTTTTATATAAATATTGGAGTGAGTTTTTTTAAAGAAATATTTTTAATTTAAGAAACATATGAAGATCAATAGTCAAGAGTATTGTACGTGTGATTACCCTACATTTAAAAATTAAACTTATTGTAAATAGAAAATTATAACATTTTAGAGAGAGAGAAAACATGGCAACACAAGAGAAAATCTTCCTAATAATATCTCCAATTCTGAATAAATACTAATATAAGCAATTCATATATTTTTCTTTTCTATGTATGTATATATTTAAAATATAAATATTATTAAAAAAACAAAATGTATATATTTTTACATAGTATTAAATAAACTTCTAATTTACGTACCAAAATTATATCTGTAAGGATTATTATACTTACAAGTTAAAAAATAGAAATATGTAACACAATCTATATTCACAAGCTTATGTGTATATAACAAATATTTATATAGATTTTACATATATCTATATTTCATATAAGAAAAATTCTTATATTACCATTTCTCTTAAAATTAAGATGGTCCGAAATATCTAAACATTTTAAACAAGAGAGAGAAGTGTTATATATTGTGTGGGAAACTCATACAGTAATAAACTCCAAATATAGATGTGTAGAATAGAAAAAAGATAAAAACGTCAATGTATGTGGAAAAGAATTATTTGTCATGTGCACAATGCAAAATGACAAAAATATAAGTACATAATTTAACACATGGCTAAAATAAGCTTTCTCGACATTTATCATAATTGATAAGAAACAGAATCGTCAAGAAATAGGATATTTTCTGGTGTTTCTCCAATATAATATATATACATCATATTATTGCAATAACACGTTCTTCATTATCTTTCCATTAAATCTAATTTAAATATAAAATATAATACAACAAATTATATATATATTAAATTTTCTAATATACAAAACATATATATGCTTTATATTATAGCATATGCTATTGGTAAGAAATAGCTTTAGCTATCAATTTTTCAATAAAAAATTTATGGCATCACGTTATATAATTATTAATCGCAAAATTCAAGTTTTTTGAAGTATGAATGGCTTTGGTAATAGAAAGTTGAAATAAACTGTCATACAAATCTCTTACACAAATAAATAATGTTAAACTATCCTATTTAACACGTCGATTTCAAAATATTCATTTATATTAATAATATAATTTATACCTTTACCGATTGTGCAAATAATAAAAAATATTTACACAATTGTTTGCCATGATACAAAAACAAATTATGAATATTTTTTAAAGCTTCTCCTAAATCCAAGTGTTTACAGGAAGCAAAATGTGTACACGTTTTTAACAACAATTTACAAATTTTTAGTTCGATTCTGATGGAACTGCTGGCAGAACATGCACTTGCTGTGCTTTACTGGCATTATACACTTGTCCTGGACTAAATGGTTCTAATCGAGGACCAGATCCTAAATCATTTTTATTACGGATGATATCTTAAAATGAAAACACAAATAAAACAATTATATAAAGTTCATATAACCTAATAGTACTATTCTTTCAGATTACATAACAATTATCTTTTCTATAAATATTTAGTGAATTTTTTTACCAAATCAAGTATAACACATCATATATAAGTATGGTATGTAAAACTCACCATTTTTCGATTCTGTTGCAGGTATATATCGAGATAATCTAACAACAGGAAGAGGCAAATAACCACTTGTCAGAGGCATTACATCTAATGTAACACTTTGCTTTTCTACTACTTCTAATGACACAATGCCTGCAGTCCGACCACATACCGCCCACATAGTTTGGTCTGCTAGAACTTCATACATTAACTGTGGTGGAGGATTTGGGCTAACACTAGGTAACATGCGCATAACTGTAAGACAGAGATGGCACATACTACCAGCACGACAAAACTCTCCTCCACTACCACTTGCTTCAACTTTTGAGGATACCGTGAATAAAGTCTGGAAAGTATTGTTAGGAATAAAAGAGAGAGTTAATGTTATATACTGTTCTAATATGTATACAGAATGTTTTAATCACTATAGGTTTTATACCTATTTAACACGTCGATTTCAAAATATTCATTTATATTAATAATATAATTTATACCTTTACCGATTGTGCAAATAATAAAAAATATTTACACAATTGTTTGCCATGATACAAAAACAAATTATGAATATTTTTTAAAGCTTCTCCTAAATCCAAGTGTTTACAGGAAGCAAAATGTGTACACGTTTTTAACAACAATTTACAAATTTTTAGTTCGATTCTGATGGAACTGCTGGCAGAACATGCACTTGCTGTGCTTTACTGGCATTATACACTTGTCCTGGACTAAATGGTTCTAATCGAGGACCAGATCCTAAATCATTTTTATTACGGATGATATCTTAAAATGAAAACACAAATAAAACAATTATATAAAGTTCATATAACCTAATAGTACTATTCTTTCAGATTACATAACAATTATCTTTTCTATAAATATTTAGTGAATTTTTTTACCAAATCAAGTATAACACATCATATATAAGTATGGTATGTAAAACTCACCATTTTTCGATTCTGTTGCAGGTATATATCGAGATAATCTAACAACAGGAAGAGGCAAATAACCACTTGTCAGAGGCATTACATCTAATGTAACACTTTGCTTTTCTACTACTTCTAATGACACAATGCCTGCAGTCCGACCACATACCGCCCACATAGTTTGGTCTGCTAGAACTTCATACATTAACTGTGGTGGAGGATTTGGGCTAACACTAGGTAACATGCGCATAACTGTAAGACAGAGATGGCACATACTACCAGCACGACAAAACTCTCCTCCACTACCACTTGCTTCAACTTTTGAGGATACCGTGAATAAAGTCTGGAAAGTATTGTTAGGAATAAAAGAGAGAGTTAATGTTATATACTGTTCTAATATGTATACAGAATGTTTTAATCACTATAGGTTTTATAAAAAAAAAAATAAATAAATAAAGTTAGAGAGAGAAAGTTATTACAATATTATAAGTTACCATAAAAACCATTGTTTTTGTATTTCAAATAAATCGAATATTATTTAAATGTATAACTATAAAATATATTAATCAATAATGAGATTAATGAGTTATTCTTACCACGTAATCTGTGATATCAAAATTGCATCTGTAAAGGCTACATGCTTTCTCAATTCTTTCTAAATTATGTATGTGTAATGGATCATCATCAACACATGTATCAATTAATTCTTTAGTATCGCTAACTGATATATATTTTACACGAAAGTCAGTCTTTATTGGCATCGTAGATCTCTCATCTTTTCCAATTTCAAGTTCCCACATAAAGGAAACATTCATTCCATTACCTATCACTAATCTTTGACCCGCAATAGGATTTAAGTTTTTAAAAGTAACGTCTATCGACGTAATCGTAGTTAATTCAGGTTCAGTTAATTGCAAAAGTTGATTTGTCAAACCAGTTACAACTATTTGAATAAATTTTCTTTGTTTTGCCGTATGAAGTTTCATATTAGACATTAACGGTGGACCAAAATGTAAAAGTATGCTCTCTTCTGAATCCCATGGACATTGAATGTTCAACTGAAAAGAAATTACAAGTTATTTGTAATGTTTATAATAATTCGTAATAATATTTTTTGAATAGAAAAAAAATATAGTATAAATTATACAAATTTTAAATACTTTATGTTCCATAGATGAAGCATCCTTTTTCGGTGGAAGTTCAGCTAGAACTTTTAATTGTATCCTTATAGTTTGAAATGGTTCACATGTTGGCAGTGATATCTCCAGTTCTTTCACCATTACTTTTTCGACACTTTGTGACTGCACCGTCAATCCGCGTGATGTACGTAATTTTAATTTCATTTCTTTAGTTATTTTTGTACTTCCGCTCGAAATAACTAATTCAATATCTTGAATAAGACCTGCCAGTAAATCTCTACCGCAATTTACCGATATCGTCGGCTGCGTCTTTGCTACTTCGTAACATAATCGTGGATTCAGTACAGGTGATAAAAATTCTAATTTGTCTTCTATCACCAATGATAACTGGCTAACTTTATATAGACCTGGTGCATTTACTCTCCTTGTCAATATAAATGTATTTGTACCAGCTTTCATAATAAATTCATCACACGAAAGTGCTTTGCTAAAATCACCCTTTACGTTAACCAAAGGTTTTCTATGTTTTGCACTATCTGAACGTCTCACGAGTGGCTTCGTATTTTTATTAATAACGCTAGCAGATCCAAGACTCCTATCTTCCTTGTAGTCTAAATAACAATATACTTGCAAGTGTAACAAACTAGGATCAAGCAATTTCATATCTTCTAATGTGCATTTTGATAACCTGAAATAAAACAAAATAGAAATTCGACATGTATAAAAAAGAACATATAATAATAATATAAATATTTTATGTCACAAATGTATGTATATAATGCTACAAAATATCAATATATATTAATAATTTTTTTACAATTCCGCTATCTGTTTTTACAATTTGTTTTAAATATCAAGAATTATATACACAAACAGAGGTTTCTATATAAGCAAGAAAGTTTATAACTTCTCACTCATTATAATACTTACAATTGTACTAGAGGCTCAACAGGTGCTTTTAATCCTTTCTTTTTATTAGGTATGGATGGCTTTTGTATCTCCTCTACAGAAATAGCGGCACTGGTACATTTTATTTCACGAGGGAACAAACTCTGTATACTGATCTCGATACTAACTACACAGTCTTGTACTACCTTATCCATTACTTTAACTTCCATACTGAGTATTATAAAAGCACATCCAAGCTCCGTGAGTAATGGTTGAGATGAAGAGATCATTTTCATATATCCTAACATTTCTTCCAAGTATGTATTGCGTACAGTTATATGCAGAACACTTATACTAGCTACTGCTGCGCATACTTTAGTATATTTCTCGACATCGTCCATTCGTTTATAACACTCGGCCAACTCTAACTGCGTTTGCGCAGCCAAGTGATTCCACCCTTCGTCCGTATAAGTTTTTAAAGCATCAGATAGAAATGCGACTGCTTTTTGATTTTCGCCGAGTTCGCTATAAAATCGTGCCAATTCTTTGCCGATTAATCTGGCTGACCGAATGCGGCCGACATGCTTGTATGTACCCATGGCTAATTCTGCATGTTCCAAATATTGTTTTTTAAATGCTTCTTTGGACGAAAGTGCTTCCTTTAATTTATCTGTAGGAGTTAACTTCCTCTCTACCTGTGGTTCCGAATCTCCTATGCCTGCTATAAGATACACAACTGTGTGCAACTGTTCACTAGTCGGTTCACTTCCCGGCATTAGGCCACATAATTGTCCTAAGCTTCCCAACTGAAAAAAAAAAAAAATGCCACGAAAATGAATCAAGAATTATATTTATATCATTATATGTGTATCATTCTATTTATATATAATTATTTGATAATATTACAAGATATGTAAAATTAATCCTAGCATCACAAATACATGAATCAAATTATTTACTTTATCCCTTGCAAGTGCCCATAAGCTGGCCATATGTAAAGAGCATAAATCTAACTGTTGATTATTATCGATATTGTAAATAGATAACTGACACGCTTGCAAGACCTCTAATGCACAGAGGAATGACCAACATTCTGTAGATCCTTCAGGCTTCTGTACTTCTAAGATTCTTAGTTCGCTCAATGTATTATGAACAAATGATAAACATCTTTGTGCAACCTGTATTAAAAGTAATCTTTCTTTACAATAATATTTCAAGATATATTTGCATGACAATTTGTTAATTATTAATAATTGTTGAACATATATACAAACCTCCCAAGGTTTATTAAGCAAGAGTAACATGGCACATTGTCTACTGAACAAGTAACTCCTAAGATCTAATAAAGATGCCTTACATTCAGCCATAAGAAACCTTAAATGATGATTTGTACCATTATTTAAATTCACGCCTCCCCAGTTGTTGAGAGGCATTTGAAACAGATTTAACCACACTGGAGTATCTATGAACAGTTTATCTACATTTAAGTTTTTACTTTGTATCGATATTTTTCTTCATTGTGTAATGTGCATCTTTATTCCAAACCAAATTTTGAAAGAAAAGTGATATACCTCCTACATTAGAATTGAGCACAAACTGTGTAAAAAGAGCATCTAGTTCATCATATTGCACCAATGCTTCATCGTACAGACCTAGCATTTGCAATGCAAATGCCAATTCTTCCTAAAACAATTTTAAGTCGATTTTGTAATAGAAAAAGTAAAAGTTAACAAATTTTTTTTCAAGATTAGATATTTCAAAAATAAAGGTTTTAAACGAGTGTTGCACTACCTGTAGAAGAAAATAATGACAGAAATTCCAATTAGGATTATTTCGCCTTTCTCTCTGCTCACGTATAATATCCTCAAAGCGTGAAAGAGTTCTATCATATGCAGTCAACATCAAATGACGAATACGAGTTATCAAGCCTCTCCATGATTCAGCAGAACGAGATTCAGATTTAATTGGATTAATTACAGCAAAGACTCTATAGTAATCATAAATATAATTTTTAGATATAAAAATTATTATTTGTCGTAAAAAATTAAATATAAAAGTTCACAGATCCGTATTAAAATATAATTATTGAATTTATATCAATTACAGTTCGAAAATTACCTATCACCATTTTTGGCAGCAAAGTCACTTCGTATTTTATCCAATACAGTTGTCCTAGGCAATAGTTTATTGGCTTTTTTTATATCATATGTTTCTACTAGCACAATCATCCAATCTTGGATATGATTTAAATTTAATATTTTTACCCAAGCATCAATATCATCTCTGACACTAGTCTTATAAGTATCAATATCCTGTAAAGAGATATGTATAATATATTCACTATTACTAAATTATCAAAAACATAAATACAATCAGATATTGCTAAATACAAAGACACTTTTAATTTGTTATTTTTATATACATTAATTTCCTTCGATAAAATACATAATAAAAAAGAAAAAATAATATCTTGAAATTATACATACAATTGTTTTATTTAACTCATATATGTATAGCAAGAAATTATAGTGTCAATTGAAGCATCCCCATAAAAACTTACAGAACATTCAGTCCAATAAATATGAAAGATTGGTTGTTTTATGAGATGCCAATCTTTCTCAGTGGGCAAAATATCCCTGGAAAATGGCACAAAAGTAGCTCCAAGCTTAACTTGTTTAATGGGCCTGCTAAAGGACCTGCGCCATTCTACTATTTCTGCAGGTATAGCTTGGATTAAATTCTTCTCCAATGTAGAAAACAAGTTCTCATCTCCAGCACCTGTTATTACACACAAATTATTATATTCCTATTCTATCTACCAACAAAACATCATATGCATGATAAAATAGCACATTTACATAAATTAGAATAACATCTTCCCTGCATACACTAATTAAATAAAATTTATACATGTATGTCACAAAGTGCATCTTATATTTTTATTGAATCAGTTTATAATCTAAATATTATATATGTATGAAAAAAAAAGAGTTGGGAAAATATTTAATTATTTAAAATATTTATATACAAAATAATATTTTTTTGCTAAAAATAATGTTAAGCTAACATATGTTTCTCAAGACAAAAAAAATTTCGAAAGGTCTGGTGAACCAAGTATCTTGAGGCACGTATCATTCTACGAATTTTATTCGAACAATAAACATCAATTATTTAGGATAAGAAGAAAAAAATAGAGAAACGTCACGAGAATTGACAGATAGTCAAATCGGGAGCGTCAGTGAGACGGCGTTGTTATCGACACAACATAGTGGTTAAAAAATGCGATTAAACTCACAGGTGACGATCGGTTTGCTGTCCATGGGAGCGCTTGTTTTGCGTGCCTCAGCCACGGACGATCCTCCATTGCAATTCATCATTTCTGAGGATTGACAGTACGCCTCGCGAGCTCGTTGCTCCCGATCAAGCTTTCAGTCATCACAACTCCACGTCCCCCTCCGCATGAGAATTTCGTCGTTTGCTGATTCCAAAATCGCTAAGTTCGCAGCAAGCTTTCAGGATTCCGCGATAAATTATTAGCATATATTTAATGACGATTTAAGAGATTAGATGAAACATTGTACTTCGCACTTTCGAACCCCATTGAGGTTGGAATTGGAATCTTCATTTGGTTGATATATGTCGTTTCGTATCGATTCAAGCGAAACGAGAATATCTCGCGATATCTCGTTGTGTCATCGCGATGTGTTTGTGCCATGATGTAAAATTATTAAAAGATAAAAGTGTATCAGATATGTCAGTAGGCATGTTGCTTTTCAGTATTGTGATCTGATTGGTAACTACTGCGTATCTCCATGAGAATGGTACACTTTGCTTTTTTTTTTTATGTCATATATACGTGTTTATCGTTATTTCGTTCATATGGAGTAAGAACACATGTCTATTCGAAACGTTTGAAAAGTCAATTGTTTTGAATAGTGTTTCTTTGCAATATCATTGTTTATGCTGCTTGAAACGTACACTTTTCTATGGTTATTTTTATGCTAATGAATATATATCAAAGGTATTTTTAAACAATTGCGGTGCATCGATTTTTAAAGATGATTGAAACCGATGTTTAATCACGTTACGCAAACGGCATTTTATGTAATTTCTTACTATATTGATTTTATTCAAAACAACATGCTTTTTTTCTAGAAATTTGTTAAATATACGAAAAATGCAAGATGTCAAAAAATATAATTAAGAAAATACCTGGCGATATACCACCTCATTCGAAAAAGGAAAGCCAAGGTTATATCGAGGATTTAGGGAAAAAACAAAAGTTTGAATTGGAGGAACTTTTGGAAAGGCAGAATAAAATTCTTGCAAACAAGTGGGTAATATAACAAATTATTGTATTCTGGATATTGAATTCTTAACTTCTATTGCATTTTCTTTCAGAAGATTTATCTCAAAGCTTCCAGATAAAGGAGAGAAAATTGTAAGCTTCCGTGATAAGTTATTGAAAGAACTTGAGCATAGAAATGAAGTAGAGACAGCAGCTAACTTGCTATCGCGACTTAATATAGCATCCGTAGGCAAAGTAGCCATGACTAAATTAGAATGGACAGGAAAATACAATGACGAGAATGATGAAAATACAACCAAGATTGTTGAACTAGACAGTGATGATGAAGAAGATCCATTCAAAATATTAGCTCAGGTTAATTGTACTTCAAATAAAACATTAATAATAGTTTTTGTCAATTACTGTAATAAGTATAATTTTTTGTGTTCTAATGTATAGCCTACAGGAACTGGTATTCACAAGAAAAAGATTATACATGTAACACATGAAGAAAGTCTAATCAAGCCAGAAGACATAATAGAAGTTGAATCCTTTAAAACAGACGATTGCTTAGAAATAGAACATGTAAAATATATCATTGACAAAGTAGAAAAAACACAAGAAACAAACAAAAAAAAAGAACCGTTTAAGCCATATAAAACAACTAAAAGCAATGTGCATGATCCAACGAAAGAAAAACAAAGGAAACTGCCTAAAAACTGGGAGGTCACAGCAGCTACACCACCTCTTACAATTCATGGAGCAACAAGAGTCTTAAGCATTAATGAATCTTTAAAATTTTTTTTTCAAAATGTTTTTAGAAAACTTCAGGAACCATTTCTATATATTTTTACATAATTAATTTTAAATATATATTTTAATATTTAACAGAAAATTCAAGCAAAACATGCAATAGAACGTTTGACTAATCAAATAGGAATGCACAGTATTGGTCCTATACCACAAAATATTGGAAATTATCACTTCCGGCATACAAATAATTTAGTTTCTTCATCTTCTTCTTCCGAGGATGAGGAAGAACATGAAGTGCTAGATGAAGAGGATAATGATAGAGGTGGAACAGTTGTATTTACCGTGGATTCTATAGAGAGTTAACATTATACATATTTTAGATGTACATATGAATAATTATTAGTTTTAAAGAGTATTAATTTATATTTTCATTAATAAAATTTTTTTAATGATGGAATTGTGCATATTTTATATACTTTTGAGTTAATTAAGTATATTTCTAGTAATTTCACAGGGGAGTTACAGAATACTTGAATTATATAGTTTAAAAGACTTTATTATTTTTATAATGTTAATTATATCCAAAGTCATTAATAATTTTTGTGTATGGTGCTGTGGCTTTGGAAACTGCTTCACCAGCTTGCTTAGTAAGTTTCTGTAAAAAAAAAAAGCAATGATTATAAAACCTCACTTTGTTAGAAAACATTTTTTTAAAAACAAAGATTTAAAAAAATATATAGATATAAGAAAGCTTGATCATATAAGTTATACCTTAAGCTTGTTTCTTTTTTGGACTTCAAGAATAGCCCTGACACGTCTCTTGTTCTCTAGTGTACGAACCACAGCCTTGTATTTCCATCCTACTTCATGAGATAATCTACCCACATGACAATACTAAAAATTGAAGTTTTGTATTAGTATAAATATTGTCTCGATATTTTGTGATAAGAGCATAACTATTGTAATGTTTTATCGCTCAGTTTAAAGTGACATCACGGTCATATAGACCAACTTCAGACGCAAATTACCAAACCATCATCGCTTTTCCAGTAAATAAAATTTAAATAAGCCTAAATATACGATCTAATTTACCTTTCGGCCTGGTTTAAGACACATTACTCTCATGGCACCAGGCACAACAACACGCTTTCTGCGATCGTACGGTGGTGGACATCCTTCGTAAACCTTCAATCGTCTGAGAGCATCCTTTCCTCTTTGCGTCTTATGTGGGATCATACCTATAAAAAGTTTTTTTTTTTAATATTCTGACATCTTTGCCATTGTAAGACATTATATTAAATCTTAGCCTCATAAAAAAGATTTCTTTCATTATATTATCAGATAATGTAGGTAAATATGTAATCATATGCAATAGTTCTATTTTATAAGTCATTAATATAATCTTAACTATACCACGAACTGTCTTCCAGAAAATCTTGCTAGGTGCGCGAAAGTGGAATGGGCCACGTGCAGGATTTACATTACATCTCTTACGTAAAAAAGACATAAATTTCAACTTGTTTCTGAAAATAAACAATATAAATTGTATAACTGTGCATATATTTTCTTATATAGAAAAAGTAATTATTTAAATTGTTTTTATATTTTTTGCTTGCTTTAATCATACACAAACATATTGATTATTTAAAATCAGATATTACTCCTAATACAAAGAATGAGGATTTACAAACCTGAAGAAGTTGCCGCTTATATTGAGTTGTTCGCTACGTACAACGATAACTTTGTTGCCTTGCAAGATGGTCTTGGCAACGATAGCCGCCAATCGCCCGAGTAAATGGCCGCGGCCATCTATTAATATTGGCTGAAATCGTAATAGTATAATCGTAATACTATTCTCGTTATACAATTCTTTGTATAATAGTGTAAGATCTCAGTATCAATGTAGTACACGTGCATATCGCTTGTAACATTATAAGAAGTTCAATATATGCAATCCACACTGTTCGGACCGGCATATACGCGGTGCGAAAATATTGGATCAAGAAGATAATAAAGTGTTATTCTGGAATTTGCGCCATTCGATATATACAACGTGCTGGAATTTTTGTTCGATGAACGCCATCATAGACACGTGTACGAGTCGAGGCAGCTTTTATATTTTTTCGATAATTGCCTTTTTTCGAAGATCGTTGAACAAGTTACACGTTGCTTCTCTAGATAAGTAATCGCGACCGCGTATACGCCCGGCGCGAAAGCCTTTTCAACCATCTAAAATATCGAATTTTGAAACACCAACCTTCTCACTGAACCCCGTCATTCTGTTACCGTACCGGAAAGGAGTCTAAACGAAACGTGATAACTAACGGAAATCGACCATAGTATATTCAGAATGACCAACATTGGAAATTGAAATTGATTTTAATAATGTAACTTTTCCCTAGGATTGAGGAAAAAATTGTCTCTAGAATTCGAAGAGAAATATAATTCTTTTTATCAGAAAATAGATTTGATTAGTATAACTAAAAGTATATATCAATTATATATTTTTTGTGTGAATGCAACTAATATATAATAAAAAATTAATTTTCGAACTTTCGCTTTATAGAAATTTCATAATTATATGCACACGCACGCAGCACGCACAAATCTAGAATCTAGATATTTGTTGATAATGATCGATTCTTAATTATGGAAAAAAGATAAAAAAATAGAACATATACATATATAAACATTTCATTTATTTAACAAGAAAATTGGTTTTACAGAAAATTGTTAATTTTATTCTATAAATCAAATGCTTATATGTTAACTTTGACAGAAATGTACTATTGCAAATTTATTCGAAGAATATAATAGCTACAACCTAACTTTCTCTATTTATTGCAAGTTTTTAACTTTAATTTTTTTTTGTTTTATAAGAATGCATTAAAAAATTTGGCACTTAAAGTAGCATTGTGTATAAGTACATAGTGCATTGCAAAAGATATATAGGTCTAATCGAATATCACATCAAAATAGAATCACTTGTTTCATTATCAAGAGAATATCATAAGCCACATGCACATATAGCAAAATATATGTATGTTATTTAATATTTCACATTTTACCCTGTAATTAATAGATGTAACTTGTGCTACTTATATTTTATTCACAAGGACCTAAAGTTAATATAATCACAACAATAATTTGTTATATTGCAGAGATACTTGTTTTTTTCATGTATTATTTAAGAATACTATTACACAATGCCATATATATACCTCTTTCAAAAAGAACATTAGTAGGAGACACTAGTAAAAGAATGGGATATAGTAGCCTTCTTATGACAAATAAAGAAAAATATCAAGCACGAGTGTTTCTGGAAAGAATTATTACACAAAAGTTAGCTATATTAGTGGAAAATTGTCATCTTCTAGCAATTAAATATTTATTACCAAGATTGATGATTATGAGAGATAACTTCATTCTTAGACAATTTTTGTAAGAATGTCCTTTAGTAAAGTTAATAATGATTTTGTTGAAATGCATAACTTTGCAACAACTGCATATTACTTATTAATTGATTGTTTGAGAAATAGAGAATAATGAAAATATGTCAAAAAATGAAGAGGTATTTCGTTAAGGAGCAAGGATTTGATTCATTGATATCAAAAAACTTGCTTTTAGTTTTTTGATTTTCAAGAATGTTAAAGACCTTTACTCTAGTTTTTGTACTATGTATATATTTATATATTACTGTAATTTATATCTTGTTTTAGGATCGAATTATATAAATTATCCCACTAACATGACAACTTATATTTGTGTCAATTTTAAGATAAAATTATTGAAACTTAGAAAGTTTTTAAACCCTTTTAAAAGAAACACAGTCTTGCTAACTTTACTATCAATCTTTTATTCACTATATATCTGAACAAAATATTGCAAACGTAAATAATTAATTTGTTTCAAATGTGTAACATTTTTTTTACTTTTAGCAAGTATTTTTATTTTTTTTATTTTTTAATATTTTGCAAAAGATAATATTAAAGGTTTATATATATATTTTTCATGAATCAATGCTCATATGAAATATTTTTTTGTGAGAAATAGCAACCATACGAAAAAATAAGTGTTGCTTTTTTTTCTCTTTATATGTAGGATGTTATTTTAATATCAGACATTTAATATCAGATATTTTTATGGCTAGCAATCTAGCTATTTGAAAGTATTTTTTTAATCGAGAATATGTTTGTGCAGTATCTGATAATCATTTTTCAACGTCATAGAAAAAATTTCATTACCCTTTGTTACACTTCAATTTCTCCACTTTTATATCTAATCAGTCTTGCTATATCACACAGTATATGATTATGTTAACAAACTAGCCACAAGGCACCATATATTTTAGATTTCATTGAGATTACGTGAAAGACTTATATATAGGGTAATGAGTAATATACATTGGGAAGACAATGTTGAATAATTTTGACATGATAATCACTATGACGTTATCACATATATGAATATATCCAATTATCAGTAGAGGACACTTAAATCACACATTTCGCGATTGTCTCAAAGATTAAGAGAGATCCAAGCAAGCCTGGTTAATTGTAGCTTTAGATATAAGTCAGACTTTATTATTGCACGTATTGCAATTTTTGCGTTTATGTAGGAACAATACCCGTGCATTCGCGATACTTTATATCAGAATGAAATATTTATTTTTGCATGTTAATAAACGTGCAGACAGTAACACTGTCTCCTTTCAAGATGTTATAGTTAATGATGATTTTAAACCCTCCAGAAAAAAAAAAAAAAATTAAGGGAGGACAAATTTATTATACTTGTAGACAAGTAGTTCAACGAACATGTTTTATCATGTTCTATTTTGTGTACCTTGCTAATATAAGTTGTGCGAAATAATAAGACTTAATATTACAAGGTACTAAACATACAAGACGATCTTGGCAGTCTTATTTAACTTCGTTCTATCTTCCTTTTATATCGTTTTAGATCATCAGATCATTAAGCTATCAGCATTTAACAAAATGCTTTTGGTTCAATCAGAATAGCTTATTCATCAAAATAGACCAGTTTACAAATATCTTACGATAGGATGATCGGTAATTATGTTGAGAAATATCGAATTTAGATCATGTTTTTTCTGCAATCTTTGGTACGTTTCATCAATTAGCTGCTTAATTCTTGCAAATACATCCGGATCATAGACTGATCTAGCTGTGTTAGTCAGATCAAATGGTTCTACAATATTGCAATAGTTTTAATAAGTCAGCAAAAAAAAAAAAAAAAAAAAAAAAATTTAATTTATCTATGTAAAAAGAATATTCATTTACCTTCAATGCATAGATATTTCCATTGATGAAAATCGTTTTTGAGTGACTGCACCATACGACATTCCTCTATTAGTATCTTTTTTGCTAAACGTATAGATATCGCATAATGGCTGAAACTAATTTTTAATATTACAAATTAAATATTATTTGTCAAAATAATGTACATCTTCTAAACATTGTACATTTGTAAATCAGAAATCACTTACTCGAATTTAACATAATATCTAAAAAATTCTACAAGTAATTCTCCAAGAGACTGATGATTCTCAGGCAAACGATTGGAGGATGGAATGTTTAAATCCTCATGAATATCGATACTATGAATATCTGTATATGAGCTAAATTTGCTTCCAAATATCGAATGTAAGCATGGCAGAACTGGAGGGTTGACACCGCCTGTAAAATAATGTAACATTTGTATTCTGACTTTTCTGAGAACATTTGGTTTAGAAAAAATAAATATTGCAGCATACATACATTGTAAAAAGTGTATGACCATGAGAACTAAAGAGTAACTAGATATTGTCATATTTTTCGCATTATTAATGTCATGATATTGAGCCCAAAGTTTTATGACAAGTACTAGTGGTCTTACCCTCCAATCAACTGTAAAAATAGGTTTATATAAATAATGATTAAAATATTCTTTTTAAAATACCTTTGAGTAATATATCTGTTCAAATTATTAATTAAACTTACGTTTTGAATAACAATACAGCAATTGTGTATTTCTAATACCAACAGCATTATTACAATTAAGATCGACTTTTAAATCTTGTATTGTATCACAGAATTTTATAATGGGTACTTTTGCATGTATAAGTTCGAGCTCTTCAATGAAATCTAAGTATGAAAGAGATAGAACAAAATAGTTTGTTATTAAAATGCTATATATGTAAAGCTATATACATTAAAGTAACGTTCTTAAAAATATTTTTTGTATTATAATATTTATAAATCTTTCTCTTTCTCTTACATACCACATTTTTTTAAATATTTTTGTATTTGTCCTAAATGCTCTATGGCTTCATATTTTTGATCCATTTCTGTGTGTCTCACCAAAAGACACATGTCGACATCACTATTATCCGAACCAAACCCATTCATTGTTGAACCAACCACAAATAAACCATATTTTGGATATTGACGCTATAAACATTAACATTTAACATGTATGAGTAAATTAAGTACTATTTCAAATTCTGTTTTTAAATATTTTAGTAATATTTTATTTGCTGTCAATCCTTCTTTTGTATTTTTTACCTTAATATAGATATAAAGATGCTTCCATAGCATCATTTTATTTCTGTAAGTAGCTTCAGTTTGTTGATTTGACATAAATTTCAACCAGATTTGTTGCGACAGACTATCCCATTTTGATCCAGTCATAATATTCTTTGGCGCAGAAGTTACTTCCATCATATGAGATTTAGCAAGAAATCTATCAGGAGCTATAATATATGTGGAAACCACATTGTAATTCGGCAATAAAACTTCCGGAAATTTACGGTTTCTTAGAAATCTTTGACAAGGTGCACTTTCACTCCTGCCTAAAAATAAATTTTATTTAAAATAAATCAAATTATACTATATTGCACACATTTTCTGAATTCGATATCAATATAGTATGTTAAATATTAATATAGTCGAGTCTTTGCTGTATTAGTTAAGCTCGCATTCTTCGCTTTATTGCTTTTCGACTATTCACATTTCTCATGCTACATACATCATAAACATGCATCCTTTTTACTTGCTTTCTTGTTCTAGCATCATCACATAGCAATAGGTAACTGTAGTGTGAATAATGGGAAAGCAATACAAAATGATAAATAACTATTAGGGAATTTGAAAATAACTAATACAAGGACGCTCGGCACTTATAGATATTGTTATATATGGGAGAGAAAAAAAGCTTACCTGATAAATACTTTCTTCTATTCTGATAATTTTGTGCATGAGACCTGGGGGTGGAAACAGTATTGTAATAATTGACAGGTCGTTGATTCTGATAGAACTGGTGTGCAGATGCACTTGAAATTAACCCGCTTGATATTGGTTTATTGATTGCTCTATTATCTGAATGTATCCTATGATATTTCCTGTGGAGAAAAAAATTTTATTGATAATATATATAAACACATACATACATATTATCAGACCACTCTCCTACCCTCCATCCCCCTATCTTTTTTCTCTCCATTTCTCTATTTATTAATAATATATACTTGATGTAGACTTTTGATTTAAAAAAACAAAAAACAAAAAAATAATAACGATATGCTTGGAAAAAAAAAAAAAAAAATTAAGGGAGGACAAATTTATTATACTTGTAGACAAGTAGTTCAACGAACATGTTTTATCATGTTCTATTTTGTGTACCTTGCTAATATAAGTTGTGCGAAATAATAAGACTTAATATTACAAGGTACTAAACATACAAGACGATCTTGGCAGTCTTATTTAACTTCGTTCTATCTTCCTTTTATATCGTTTTAGATCATCAGATCATTAAGCTATCAGCATTTAACAAAATGCTTTTGGTTCAATCAGAATAGCTTATTCATCAAAATAGACCAGTTTACAAATATCTTACGATAGGATGATCAGTAATTATGTTGAGAAATATCGAATTTAGATCATGTTTTTTCTGCAATCTTTGGTACGTTTCATCAATTAGCTGCTTAATTCTTGCAAATACATCCGGATCATAGACTGATCTAGCTGTGTTAGTCAGATCAAATGGTTCTACAATATTGCAATAGTTTTAATAAGTCAGCAAAAAAAAAAAAAAAAAAAAAAAAAAAAAAAAAAAAAAAAAAAAAAAAAAAAAAAAAAAAAAAAAAAAAAAAAAAAAAAAAAAAAAAAAAAAAAAAAAAAAAAAAAAAAAAAAAAAAAAAAAAAAAAAAAAAAAAAAAAAAAAAAAAAAAAAAAAAAAAAAAAAAAAAAAAAAAAAAAAAAAAAAAAAAAAAAAAAAAAAAAAAAAAAAAAAAAAAAAAAAAAAAAAAAAAAAAAAAAAAAAAAAAAAAAAAAAAAAAAAAAAAAAAAAAAAAAAAAAAAAAAAAAAAAAAAAAAAAAAAAAAAAAAAAAAAAAAAAAAAAAAAAAAAAAAAAAAAAAAAAAAAAAAAAAAAAAAAAAAAAAAAAAAAAAAAAAAAAAAAAAAAAAAAAAAAAAAAAAAAAAAAAAAAAAAAAAAAAAAAAAAAAAAAAAAAAAAAAAAAAAAAAAAAAAAAAAAAAAAAAAAAAAAAAAAAAAAAAAAAAAAAAAAAAAAAAAAAAAAAAAAAAAAAAAAAAAAAAAAAAAAAAAAAAAAAAAAAAAAAAAAAAAAAAAAAAAAAAAAAAAAAAAAAAAAAAAAAAAAAAAAAAAAAAAAAAAAAAAAAAAAAAAAAAAAAAAAAAAAAAAAAAAAAAAAAAAAAAAAAAAAAAAAAAAAAAAAAAAAAAAAAAAAAAAAAAAAAAAAAAAAAAAAAAAAAAAAAAAAAAAAAAAAAAAAAAAAAAAAAAAAAAAAAAAAAAAAAAAAAAAAAAAAAAAAAAAAAAAAAAAAAAAAAAAAAAAAAAAAAAAAAAAAAAAAAAAAAAAAAAAAAAAAAAAAAAAAAAAAAAAATTTTTTAAAAAAAAAAAAAAAAAAAAAAAAAAAAAAAAAAAAAAAAAAAAAAAAAAAAAAAAATTTAATTTATCTATGTAAAAAGAATATTCATTTACCTTCAATGCATAGATATTTCCATTGATGAAAATCGTTTTTGAGTGACTGCACCATACGACATTCCTCTATTAGTATCTTTTTTGCTAAACGTATAGATATCGCATAATGGCTGAAACTAATTTTTAATATTACAAATTAAATATTATTTGTCAAAATAATGTACATCTTCTAAACATTGTACATTTGTAAATCAGAAATCACTTACTCGAATTTAACATAATATCTAAAAAATTCTACAAGTAATTCTCCAAGAGACTGATGATTCTCAGGCAAACGATTGGAGGATGGAATGTTTAAATCCTCATGAATATCGATACTATGAATATCTGTATATGAGCTAAATTTGCTTCCAAATATCGAATGTAAGCATGGCAGAACTGGAGGGTTGACACCGCCTGTAAAATAATGTAACATTTGTATTCTGACTTTTCTGAGAACATTTGGTTTAGAAAAAATAAATATTGCAGCATACATACATTGTAAAAAGTGTATGACCATGAGAACTAAAGAGTAACTAGATATTGTCATATTTTTCGCATTATTAATGTCATGATATTGAGCCCAAAGTTTTATGACAAGTACTAGTGGTCTTACCCTCCAATCAACTGTAAAAATAGGTTTATATAAATAATGATTAAAATATTCTTTTTAAAATACCTTTGAGTAATATATCTGTTCAAATTATTAATTAAACTTACGTTTTGAATAACAATACAGCAATTGTGTATTTCTAATACCAACAGCATTATTACAATTAAGATCGACTTTTAAATCTTGTATTGTATCACAGAATTTTATAATGGGTACTTTTGCATGTATAAGTTCGAGCTCTTCAATGAAATCTAAGTATGAAAGAGATAGAACAAAATAGTTTGTTATTAAAATGCTATATATGTAAAGCTATATACATTAAAGTAACGTTCTTAAAAATATTTTTTGTATTATAATATTTATAAATCTTTCTCTTTCTCTTACATACCACATTTTTTTAAATATTTTTGTATTTGTCCTAAATGCTCTATGGCTTCATATTTTTGATCCATTTCTGTGTGTCTCACCAAAAGACACATGTCGACATCACTATTATCCGAACCAAACCCATTCATTGTTGAACCAACCACAAATAAACCATATTTTGGATATTGACGCTATAAACATTAACATTTAACATGTATGAGTAAATTAAGTACTATTTCAAATTCTGTTTTTAAATATTTTAGTAATATTTTATTTGCTGTCAATCCTTCTTTTGTATTTTTTACCTTAATATAGATATAAAGATGCTTCCATAGCATCATTTTATTTCTGTAAGTAGCTTCAGTTTGTTGATTTGACATAAATTTCAACCAGATTTGTTGCGACAGACTATCCCATTTTGATCCAGTCATAATATTCTTTGGCGCAGAAGTTACTTCCATCATATGAGATTTAGCAAGAAATCTATCAGGAGCTATAATATATGTGGAAACCACATTGTAATTCGGCAATAAAACTTCCGGAAATTTACGGTTTCTTAGAAATCTTTGACAAGGTGCACTTTCACTCCTGCCTAAAAATAAATTTTATTTAAAATAAATCAAATTATACTATATTGCACACATTTTCTGAATTCGATATCAATATAGTATGTTAAATATTAATATAGTCGAGTCTTTGCTGTATTAGTTAAGCTCGCATTCTTCGCTTTATTGCTTTTCGACTATTCACATTTCTCATGCTACATACATCATAAACATGCATCCTTTTTACTTGCTTTCTTGTTCTAGCATCATCACATAGCAATAGGTAACTGTAGTGTGAATAATGGGAAAGCAATACAAAATGATAAATAACTATTAGGGAATTTGAAAATAACTAATACAAGGACGCTCGGCACTTATAGATATTGTTATATATGGGAGAGAAAAAAAGCTTACCTGATAAATACTTTCTTCTATTCTGATAATTTTGTGCATGAGACCTGGGGGTGGAAACAGTATTGTAATAATTGACAGGTCGTTGATTCTGATAGAACTGGTGTGCAGATGCACTTGAAATTAACCCGCTTGATATTGGTTTATTGATTGCTCTATTATCTGAATGTATCCTATGATATTTCCTGTGGAGAAAAAAATTTTATTGATAATATATATAAACACATACATACATATTATCAGACCACTCTCCTACCCTCCATCCCCCTATCTTTTTTCTCTCCATTTCTCTATTTATTAATAATATATACTTGATGTAGACTTTTGATTTAAAAAAACAAAAAACAAAAAAATAATAACGATATGCTTGGAAATTAAATAGTAATATATAATTTTGAAAATGCATCATATTTACTTTATTTCTTGTCCTCTTAATGAACTTGTGGAATCTCTTTCATCTGAACTCTCTGTTAGACTATTATCAATGTGGTATTTGTTTGGTGTTGGTGAACGAGAACTAAATCCACTGTCACTATTATATGTCTCATACTTGGAGTAAGAATTTCTATATGTACTTCGTCTGCCATTTCTGTTATTCCAACTTGGTTTTTTTATTGAATGAGTATTTGTAGGCTTTAAGCTATAATTTGATGATGGAATAATTGAAGTATTGCTGGATGTGCCCATTCGTCTCTCCCAATTTGCAGGAGACGAATTATTATTTGATTGCATATATTCTATATGTCGTAATGATGGTACTTCAACTCCCATTAGTTGTAAGAACTCTAATGGGTGAGATCCTGCCTGCAAGAATATTACTTGTATATTTACACAAAAAAATAGAAACAAAGACAATATATCTGCACAACAAAATATATTCATAAATTCTTATTCTGCATTTATAAAATTACCATTTTATTATCATATTAAAACTATTTGCAAAAATATAAGTTTAATGGACAAGAGAGAATGTTTTCTTTCTCTCTCTCTAACACATTAATATCTTAAATGAAATCTAAAAAAATTTAATATATACCTGCATTGAATGAGGTCTGTTATGTCTGGAAATATCTGGACCATATGGTGTGAAATCAGTTTGATGCAATCCATTTATGCCATTAATATGCAACGTGTGAGTTTGCACTGGTGGACATTGTCCACCTGTTTGCTGTCCACTCATTATTTGTACCATCATTTGTGATGGAAACACAGTATGGTACATAGTCAATATAAATATAGGAGATACAAGATGTATGCAATTTCTTTGTTTAATTGCCAGTATAGCAGTTTATTGCACTTATAATGGTCCTCATAAATATTTATAGCAATCAATAATATATATAAGGCACACAATGTAGTTATTGAATCTTGCAAAGTTTTATATTGTTTACATATACATTTAGAAAATCTTCTTGCTTTGTCTTACTTTTTTTTGTTTTCTTGCTTTTATATTTTCTTTTTTTTATATTTTTTATATAATTTCGCAAAATTTATATTTTGTATCTTGTAAGATTTACTATGTTAATCTAGAATATAACAATATACATAATTCTATAATAATGCAAGAAAAATGATAATGAAATTAGGAATTCAAAAGCAGAGACGCTATATTTATTTTGCCTATCTTTAGTCATAAAGTTTTATAGATATATAAATATATATAGATGCATATGTGGAATGCACAAAGCTATAAAAATAAATCGTAATTTAAATTAATGATTATATTTAACGAGAAATACTTTCTCTCTCACTGCACTTTGATAAAGGAAAATTTATGTGAGGCAAATAAAGTCCCCATGTTTTTAATCAACTATCAAATTTTCTATAATCTCAATCTAGTTACTCTCATAATTAATTTTATGCATATAATTTTGCCTGCAAGTTGAATACTTTTAAAGCTTAGTTTTGAGATGTTTTCAATTGAGATTTATTTGAGATTTAATGTGATTGCCTTCACTCTTTCAGAGTTTTTAATATATAAGTGCTTTTTCTATCATAACCTCCTGAAAGAAACAAAAAAAATAGTTTTGCAAACAATTTTGTAACATTATGTGTTATTATATATTATATTAGTCCAGAAATATAGTTTAATTATTAACAACAATCGTTAAAGCATATGATTGTGTGAATATATTCATCAAATCAAACACATAACTTTCTATAAGAAATTACTTGCCCAAGTAATCAAGCAACGTGCTACATAACGTGCGCGCGCGCACGCACAGCACACACTCACACACACACACAGCAATATTAAATATTTTTTGTTCGACATGAGTGCAAGGGTGAAGAGTGAGATTCAAGATCAAACAAACAGAAATGAAATCGGTATTGCACGGAAACGAGAAATAAGAAGAAACACAGATATTACCTGTTCTCAGTCGCCATGTTGCAGTCGAATTTGTCCTTAGATGAACGGAAAATTTATGAGAAAACTATCTTTTATTCCCGGGCTTTGCGTTTCCGATTATCAATGTGCGTACAATGAGCACAATCGGAAATACGATGCAGCGTTATCGTGACTTTTACCGCTCAACCGGCAGCAATTTTACGATAGCGTGCGCGTGATATGTCGGTGGCGAATGCCTCTCGTTCAATTGATGCCGCACGCTCGTCACTATTAACGCAAATCGCCACATCCACAAAAAACCAAAAACGTTTAAATTTTCAAATCTTTGACGCGTAATGGACGATTCTCATTTCACGTGCTTGATGGATTAACCGTGAGGCGGCAGTGCGACAGTTCATGACATCATGACAATCATGCACAATACATGAATATATAACGTGTCGTATAGGCCGTCTTCCGAAATTCACTGGAAAGTACTAGTTCCGACTTCCGACTGACAACGTGTCGGGTTCGGACGTGTTTTTGCGTGCTGCGTATGTCCTGTCTGGACCTTTTTTTTTGGACTCCTCCTCTCTTAAGAGGAATTTTGCTTATATTTCACAAACCCATAAGAAACAATGGTGTATGGGCGACTAATGCCCAACCAGCCATAAAAGAAAGAAAGAAAAAAAAGACTGGAAAGTACTGGAAATCTATGACTACGTTTACACGTCACTCCTAATCGGGTTTAAGGGCCAATTTCACAAAGTCCGGTTAGATGAACCGACGGTTAAAATTAGCAGGGTGGCCAACAGAAAATAGAGGTGAAGGAAAACCAGGCTCCGTAAAGATAGCCGGACCACTTTAACTTTTTAATAATTAAAATTATCTAATTGTTTGGTGGTCGTTTGGTGATGATTGGTAGCCTAATTAAAACGTTTGGTGGTCAATCGTTCTTTTTAAATTAAATAATTAAAATATTGGTGTAAAGTTAGCCGGACATTTTTAATTTTTAGTCTAATTGATTAAATCAAGGCTTATTCGATGCAGAATCGCGATTGGTTCCACTCTCGTTCCGCGTTACGCTAATCCGCGTTTCCGCGCTCCATGTAATGGCATCCTTAGAACATATATAAATGGAAGAGAAATAGCAGGCTGAAAAGTGTCGAAGGAAGTGAGAAAGAAATCGTAGTTGTCTCTCTCTTGTGAGTAACTACACATACAAGCATCGTGTCTGTAGTATACATACTTTTGTGTAACACACATGGCCGCGCATGCGCACTTTTGAGCAAAGTAACTCACAAGAGAGAGGCAACTATGATTTTCTTTCTTACTTCCTTCCGACATGTTTTTCTATCGGGAAACAAAGAATATAATCAGAGAAGCGACATCATAGACATAGTATATCTAGACAGTGTTCCGATTAGGGACCGGCTGTACGCGCATGCGTGCTTTTGCGCATGCGCGACGGTCTCGACGCTTGACGCTGCCATGTAAAGGCACCTTTACTGATGCCGTATTCCCGCACATGCGCGTACAGCCGGTCCCTAATCGGAACACTGGACCAACATGGCGATCATGGGAAGCATGGAGAGGGTAACGTCCCGCTACAACGTCTGCACGCATCATGTACATCGCTAATTCTCACCGTTGCGCATGCGCAAAAGCACGCATGCGCGTACAGCCGGTACCTATTTGGAACACTGTGTTGGTCCCGCAGCTGCCCATTTGTAATCTAAAATGTCTTAAAAATGTCTCAGAGGTATTTAAAATGTTTTTTTTTAGAAAATAACATTACTTGGCGTCGGGACGCTACCGCGTCGCTTGACAAATATACTTTTTTCTCGCTTATGGTACGCCGGTTGCGGTTAGTTTGCACGTAGGATTCATTACGGGACCAACATAGGGCGCGTTCCATTTAACGAGCAACGCTCGCGAGCATCATCTGTCTTTGTTTAACTTTCGGTGAACAACAAAGATGAAATGATACCGTAAGCGTTGCGGTCATTAAGTAGAACGGACCCATGGCGGTCAGCCAATCAGCAAGCGGAACACCATTGTCGCTTCTCTGATTATGGCTGCGGTCGGGAAGACGCTAGAAATGCTTCGAAACATTTGATTGACCAATCAGGATAGAAAGAGTAAAGATTTATTTATTCTGATCTGGTTAATGCAATGCTTCGAAGCATTTCTAGCGTCTTCCCGACCGCAGCCTATATAGGACTCTAGGCTTCATGGTTTTAATGAAGAATTCATATTGCGTTCAATGATCTATGGTCGTGAATTATAATTAACGACATTAAGTTCCGACTGACAACGTGTCGGGTTCGGACGTGTTTTTGCGTACTGCGTATGTTCTTTGTCTGGACCTTTTTTTTTTGGACTTCCTCCTCTCTTAAGAGGAGTTTTTGCTTATATCTTACAAACCCATAAGAAACAATGGTGTATGGGCGACTAATGCCCAACCAGCCATAAAAGAAAGAAGAAGTAATTAACGACATTATATCCCTAGAAAATAAACTCTCCTATTGGATATCAGACATCATACATGCAGTGTTGTTCTCGGGGACGCTTTCTCGCGCATGCGCAGCGCATTGGTAGAGAAATCCAGCGACGGCGTATGTAGTACACATATTTGTGTACGTATATTACTTACAATAATATGTTTAATGCCAGAAATTTTTTAAGCTAATTATAATCGTCTTTTATTAATTTTTTATTATTTATTTGTGATTCATTAATTTGTAAAACATTTTAGATTATTCTTAACATTATCTGAGCAGAGGGCTTAACAGTACCCTTTTTCTTATAAATTTGACACGTATCTTAAGGCCATGTTTAACGCGCATGCGCGAGAAAGCGTCCCCGAGAACAACATTGCATACATGGGACACGTGTAAATTTTCCATTAGAAATGATAAGCAGATATTTCATTATCGCGTTCACGCATGCGCAGATAACATCCGCATATCAACATTAATAATAAGAAATAATTGAATTGATAATGATTCGGACAGATTTTATAGAATATATAAAAATGTACTCAACTCTGGTATTACAAATGCACTTATTTGCTTATACGAATCAACAACTAGATGTTTTCAAATCAAATTTATTTTTTGATAAGAGGTTTCACAATAAATTTTAATATTATAATCTGCTGTTATATTAGCGGTGCGCTGTTGGTCGGACAAAAGAAATAAAAGAATTTAGTGTTATATAATGCAGGTTACATTAATTATTACTTAATCTATTGCAATAATATATAACAATAAGAATTCATTACCGCCAGAAGCCAATACAGATAGAGGATAGAATTAAAAGCAGGGATTCGGAAAGAACAGAAAAGCGATCTCCGAATACAAAAAAAAAGTCTATACGACATTCTAGTCGGTACAGCAAGTAAAATATTTCGAATGGTAATGAGTTGTCAGTATGCCATTGTGGATAATGACAATGTCCGAAACACGCAATGATATAGTCACATGTGATTTTTGCAATATGGCTTGTACTGCCATATCCACCCCAAAATACACAAATCAAAATTTTTCAATCCTAAGCTTATATAACTATCGTTTCGCACGTTAACCCTTTCGCTACGAGAGAAGCCATTACATATAATGACTCATCAAAAACTTTCCCTGTGTAGAGATGCGTTGCAGTCAATACGTCAAATCATTAAAGAAAAATTCCAGCAATTTTTTATACGACATTGATTTGTATAATACATACAAATCATCGTAATATATTAATGTATGTGATGCAACAAAGTTATACATTTTAACTCTATACATGGAAAAGAATAATACTACTCTTAGAATAGAGTAACATTTTGCTGCGCTGGAACATTTTCATTTGTCGTTGCAAAAAGATTAAAGAACGATATATACGACGCGATATATATATGTATATATAAAAGAAAGAACGATAATATATTTTGACAAGTTGTATCTATACCCGATTACATTAATCGCTAAAAATCGATCTCACCACGTCACTAAGGATCTACTGAAAGAAAGCAATCTTTTTAAACAATGCGCTCTGTTGACCCCTGCGCGGTAAGTAAGCAATAGATATAACATAAGGAAACAAAAAACTAATCGATATAATTAAAACCACCAATGAATTTCTCACGATCGGCGAAGACGCCGATCCCCTCTGAAAAAGGATGTGTCCCACCTCCATGTGATGACGTTGAAATGCTGTTGGCCTCATACTGTCTGACGAAGATTTAATTGGCGACTTCCTTTTCGACAAAATCCGCCGGAAAAATCGATATCGACTTTCAGCGTGTGATATGCGCTCACACATTCGAGCAGCAAGCTTGTAGTAGCGGTGTTATCGTATTCTCAATTCGAGATGCAATGATTGATATAAAAAAAAATTCGGATATCGAAATATACGTAGCCTTCTTTTCTTTCTATGTCTCTTGTGCTTTCTATTCGGTTTCTCAATGTTGATATTTGTGGCGAAGTGGCAGAAACGTGTAGCATTTCGGTCTGCTATTGCGAGTTTCGATCTTCTAGAGTTTATAGACAATTATAAAGATCCTTATTCATGAATCTTCTCGCCGTAAATTCATCCAATCGTGATGCTACATTGGCACACTTGGTGAATTCGGTCGAGTCATGAAGCGATTTATTCATTTTACGTTCCATTTTTTTTCTTTCTCTTTTTACATTTTATATTTTTATCTTTTATACATATTTTTTTTAAATTCTAGCATTACGCGACATCCTCGCCATAAAATGATCCGTTCACGGTAAGCGCGTGATCACGGTGATTGGTGGTTTGTCGTTTGTCGTTTTCCAGCCTGTGTGGATGTCCTTTGTTCGTCCTTGTCGCACTTGTGTGTTACAGTCAGTAGATTATCATGAGCCTTGCGCGTTTTCGTCCATGGTGGAGTCCGCCAACGGCGAATTAGCTTATGGAACTTTCGTTCTCCTTTCACATTCCCCTTTTCTCTCACGTCGACGACATGAGCATATGCTGCAATAATATCGTACTCGATCGTCGAGCCGTTTTACCGTTTTGCGCAGTTAGTGATTTGTGGTTGTTGGTCGAAGAAGAATTGGTCGAACGAGCCTTCATGGCATGGCAATTGCTTTGCTCAGCCGTAGGTAGGTCTCGGCTCAGTAGGGTTGCGAGAATTGTCCTCCGGCTTGCGATTGGCCCGATTGATAGAAACCACTTCGATCGCCCTGATAGGTTGAGTCTTGCGACAGCAGACCGTCCATTTGGGACTGGAATTCACCAACGGCGAACGAATCCTGAGAGAGCTCCGCTTGACTGAGACCAGGCTGCGAGAGACTGAAGCCGGGCTGAGACATACCCTGCGTCGTACCCTGGGTCAGCGGCAGACCCGGTTGGCTATACGGTTGCGTATTTTGTTCTGTTTGACTATTCAGCTTACCCATACGCGGACCGGACTTGTTTCTTACCAAAGCAGCGGCACCACGTCGATTTCTTTGATTCTGACGCGCCTGCAACGCCTGTTGATGTTGATTATAAAAGCGTGGCGGCACGTGCGCCATGTTCATGAACATACCCAGCGGTACCGGCATGTTGTTCATCGCCGCCTGCGCCCGTTCCGGGCTGATGTAGCTGATGGTATCGTGGGTGCGACTGAAAATGTCGAGCGGCACGTTTCTCTGATAGTATGGATTATGATTCTGCATGCCGTTCACCTGCGTGCCAGAGCGATCGTATACTGATCCAGGAATCAAGGCTTCGCGAGCATCGTACATTGACGTGGACATGAAATGCGAACCTGGGTTGGCCGCGTTCACGAGTTTTTTTGGTTTAGCAAATTGGATCATGGATTCCTTTAGATTGTTCAACGGTCCTTCGACCAGCACCTTTTGCTCCTTGTAAAAGCTGAGCAGATGGTTCCAGAGTGGCTGTTTCGAAAGTACCTTAGGGTTCCCTACAATGATGATACCGTATTTCGCGCGAGTCAGCGCCACATTTAATCTTCGGGGATCATTCAAGAACCCAATACCCTGATGTTCATTGGATCGTACGCAAGACATTATTATTATATCTTTCTCGCGTCCCTGAAAAGCGTCCACACTTGCTACTTCAATTTCCTGATACAGTTTCGAATGCAGAGAACCTTGATACTGCATGTATTGCACAAGATAAGCCCGCTGACCTTCGTATGGGGTTATCACTCCGATCTGTTCCGGCTTTACACCACAACGTAAGAATCGCGTCGTTATTTTTTCCACATTAGACGCTTCGGTACGATTCAAATAGGATGTTCCGCTTCCGGCTATCTCTTCTTGACCTTGCGTGACATAAAAGAACATTGGTTTGTCTACTGCAGGCCAGGGAAAATCAATCTTTAATAATTTTCTCTCGTCAGCGCAAACGCCATTCTGCAGGGAACCTTCGTAGAAAAAATTAGATGGGAATCGCGAAAGATCAGGATGCATACGATATTGTACTTCCAAACGGAAAGGTCTAATTCCCAACACCACCAGTCTTTCAAACAGAGATTGTGACAAACCAGCTCTGGCGGCTTTTTTACACATCACCACTGGACCCAATTGACAGTGATCACCAACAAGGATCAATTGCTTCGCTCCTAAAACGACAGGCACCATGCACTCCGGTTCGGTAGCCTGCATACTCTCATCGATAAGTATAGAATGAAACTTTAATCGATGCAATCTAGGATCACCAGCGCCTACGCATGTGCAGCAAATTACATCTGCTGCTTCCAGAAGCTCCTTTTCCGCCGCTTTCTTCAAGAGTCTATAACGTTTTTCATCAACGCTTGAAAGTTCGCCAGTCTCGTCCTTCAATTGTTGTAACTTTTGCAATTCAGTATTCGTCTCCATGTTTTTTATCTGATTATGCAATGCGAGGAAACTCACCGGCGAATCAATGGCCTCTCGTGATTTGGCACATAATCGTACGACTTTCAGATTTGATTTATGTATCTTCTCGGTTAATTGATCGACAGCAGTATTGGAAGGAGCGCATACAAGAACTGGACCACCGTTTTGTTTTACCAATTGATAAACTATGGTAGCACTCGTTACGGTTTTACCTGTTCCAGGTGGTCCTTGAATCAAAGACAAGGGTCGTTGTATTGCATGTTTTACAGCGTACACCTGCGATCTATTCAAATCGGGTAAATTTGGCGCACTAAAGTGCTTAGGGAGATGACAACGGAACAAAACTTCTTCTACTTCATGACCTAGTAGTCTATGATATATGTAAGCCGATACGGATGTGTCATCAACAGCAAACTTGCGTAATGCAGACTGCATTCTACAACAGAAAATAAAATAAAAAAATACTTGTTAAAACCATATAATCATACAGAAAACAGTATCGATATTCCAATTCCGCATCAATGATTCTTACCTATCAAAACTCGTACTCTTCCAAATGAAATCAACAACGAAGTTACTGACGCATTCTGTTGGCGCTCCAGAATTATTTTTCAATTCAATTCCGACTTCTTCCCCGTAATTATCCGGGATCTTAATCACGTGTCCAATTCCGGACCAAGGTTTATGAAGTTCTCCCAAGTAACGGAGTCTCAATTCGTCTCCATGCATCAATTTCATATCACCATCCGTTTTAGCTAGCAAAAAGTATGCAATAGTCTTCTTATTTAATCCAACATCCCACCGTACTTCAATATTCTCTTGAGTTTGAGATTCTTTTAACCGTTTGTCATAATCAGCTTCCAATTTTACAAGCGGACCAAAAATATTTTGATACTGATAACCATCCTCATAGCGTAACAAAACTTGCTGCGGTTCCTCATCTACTCCAGGCTTTTCAAGATCTTGGAAAGTAGCATCGACGTTGTCTCGCCATAACTCCTCCAATTTATTAATCTGCTGTGCTGAGATCTGTCTAGCTCTCAACTGCTCTTGTTCAGATGGAATTTTCACTAGCCAAGATAAAAAGCTACGATCTTCAATCAAAGGTTTCCATTGCTCTTGATCCCTAAATATTTTCAAAAAATATTAATACACATTCACAATTATATTGGAAACATTAATGATTTATATATGTATACATAAATGCCACGTTCTTTATATGTAACATGTAACTTAAGTAAAGACAAATTCACTCTTACCAATTCATATCTTTCAAAGAACTCTGTGCCGCACATGGTTGGCGACAAAGCAGCACAACTACAGAATCAGCTCTAGCAGGAATAAAACCCAATACAAAAACATTTCTTGTAGCACAGGAATAACATTCCAAAACAGTTTCTCCAAGAGGGCCATCTCTGTAACAAAAGTTATTAATAATTTCTTATAACTAAAAAATTTTATAGAAATAAACAGATGTAAAAATACAATGTTTTAAGCTGTCTGTACATGTTTATAATACATTTCTAGATTCTATAACATAAACATATGAGAATATAAAAAGTAAATCACCTGTGTAACGTAACTTCCTTGTGTTTAGCACGAACAAGATGATTGATAATATGTGATCCTGATGTATTACCGCGTCCATTGCAGAACCATTTTCGGCAAACATTACACATAACCACGCATGATGCCTCGTGGATACCGCAATATTTACATGCATATTCAGGTAAATCACGATTATAATATGCTTCCTCTTCCTCTTCCTCAAATTGCAACTCGGCAAGGCTTTGGGCTGCTCCAGAAATTTTTAAATCCAACGATGAAGTACCATTTGTTCCATTTACCTAAATAAAAATATAATATCATAAAAGCAAAAAAAAAAAAATACCAAAATATCAAAATTACAAAAAAAATCAGTGATAAATGATTAAAAATTTGTAGAATAAATGTTTTTGAAAACAAGTTATTCAATGTATGTGAATAAAAAAATTTCTGTGCGAAAATAAAATTGGAAATATCTTATCTTTTCTACAAACAGGAAGATTTCTCTCGCGAAATTATTATTATGCAAGATGCTACCGGGATTTTATTCATTTGCAAAAGAAATTAATCTTTTTGTCAAAGAATTAAGTACATCAAAAATTTCATTTATCTAGTGTCTTTTAATAAAGTTAAATACGCGTACTATGAGATTTTCCGTTTCATTACATATCTAAGGTACGAAAGTGTAACTTGCGTAACTTCGCAAAATTCTGTCGCAAATCGACACACTTAACCTCGCGTTCACAACTGGCTGCGAGAGCGACCCACACACGACAGATGTCGATTCATCTCGTGTGTTTCTTCAGCGAGCGATTAAAGTCATTTCGGTGACGATGTGCTAGCTGGGAATCCGCGAGATTTCGATATCGAGGAAAAATGCGAGGTCACGGAACAAAGATAAGAGACAAAGCGGAAACTCTGCATTAGAGAGCGGTCGCTTTCGTCGCCGCACCCCTTGACAAGCGTGCGGCGTGAGGTTAGGCCGCGTGGCCACGCGAGGAATTCGCTCTCCGGGGATGCTTTTAGCGAAAATTGGCGGACGAGCTTATAATATAACGAGACTAAAGAATACATTACTACTATTCATCGACTCGACCGACCTGAACGGGTTGACTGGACTGTGTCTGGGTCGCGTCGTGTTGCGAGGCCTGGGTCTGACTCTGCGACGGCAACGTGAAATCGGTGAAGTCGAATTCGCTGCCCTGAGTATCCGCGCCGATCAGGTCCGTCTCCTCGGTGTCGAGAAACGTGAGGGTCTGGCTGCTGGGTCCGTACGCGTCGACACTCATCCTGGATGATCTGCACTTCTCTTTCTCGAAATATACGTAGCCTTCTTTTCTTTCTATGTCTCTTGTGCTTTCTATTCGGTTTCTCAATGTTGATATTTGTGGCGAAGTGGCAGAAACGTGTAGCATTTCGGTCTGCTATTGCGAGTTTCGATCTTCTAGAGTTTATAGACAATTATAAAGATCCTTATTCATGAATCTTCTCGCCGTAAATTCATCCAATCGTGATGCTACATTGGCACACTTGGTGAATTCGGTCGAGTCATGAAGCGATTTATTCATTTTACGTTCCATTTTTTTTCTTTCTCTTTTTACATTTTATATTTTTATCTTTTATACATATTTTTTTTAAATTCTAGCATTACGCGACATCCTCGCCATAAAATGATCCGTTCACGGTAAGCGCGTGATCACGGTGATTGGTGGTTTGTCGTTTGTCGTTTTCCAGCCTGTGTGGATGTCCTTTGTTCGTCCTTGTCGCACTTGTGTGTTACAGTCAGTAGATTATCATGAGCCTTGCGCGTTTTCGTCCATGGTGGAGTCCGCCAACGGCGAATTAGCTTATGGAACTTTCGTTCTCCTTTCACATTCCCCTTTTCTCTCACGTCGACGACATGAGCATATGCTGCAATAATATCGTACTCGATCGTCGAGCCGTTTTACCGTTTTGCGCAGTTAGTGATTTGTGGTTGTTGGTCGAAGAAGAATTGGTCGAACGAGCCTTCATGGCATGGCAATTGCTTTGCTCAGCCGTAGGTAGGTCTCGGCTCAGTAGGGTTGCGAGAATTGTCCTCCGGCTTGCGATTGGCCCGATTGATAGAAACCACTTCGATCGCCCTGATAGGTTGAGTCTTGCGACAGCAGACCGTCCATTTGGGACTGGAATTCACCAACGGCGAACGAATCCTGAGAGAGCTCCGCTTGACTGAGACCAGGCTGCGAGAGACTGAAGCCGGGCTGAGACATACCCTGCGTCGTACCCTGGGTCAGCGGCAGACCCGGTTGGCTATACGGTTGCGTATTTTGTTCTGTTTGACTATTCAGCTTACCCATACGCGGACCGGACTTGTTTCTTACCAAAGCGGCGGCACCACGTCGATTTCTTTGATTCTGACGCGCCTGCAACGCCTGTTGATGTTGATTATAAAAGCGTGGCGGCACGTGCGCCATGTTCATGAACATACCCAGCGGTACCGGCATGTTGTTCATCGCCGCCTGCGCCCGTTCCGGGCTGATGTAGCTGATGGTATCGTGGGTGCGACTGAAAATGTCGAGCGGCACGTTTCTCTGATAGTATGGATTATGATTCTGCATGCCGTTCACCTGCGTGCCAGAGCGATCGTATACTGATCCAGGAATCAAGGCTTCGCGAGCATCGTACATTGACGTGGACATGAAATGCGAACCTGGGTTGGCCGCGTTCACGAGTTTTTTTGGTTTAGCAAATTGGATCATGGATTCCTTTAGATTGTTCAACGGTCCTTCGACCAGCACCTTTTGCTCCTTGTAAAAGCTGAGCAGATGGTTCCAGAGTGGCTGTTTCGAAAGTACCTTAGGGTTCCCTACAATGATGATACCGTATTTCGCGCGAGTCAGCGCCACATTTAATCTTCGGGGATCATTCAAGAACCCAATACCCTGATGTTCATTGGATCGTACGCAAGACATTATTATTATATCTTTCTCGCGTCCCTGAAAAGCGTCCACACTTGCTACTTCAATTTCCTGATACAGTTTCGAATGCAGAGAACCTTGATACTGCATGTATTGCACAAGATAAGCCCGCTGACCTTCGTATGGGGTTATCACTCCGATCTGTTCCGGCTTTACACCACAACGTAAGAATCGCGTCGTTATTTTTTCCACATTAGACGCTTCGGTACGATTCAAATAGGATGTTCCGCTTCCGGCTATCTCTTCTTGACCTTGCGTGACATAAAAGAACATTGGTTTGTCTACTGCAGGCCAGGGAAAATCAATCTTTAATAATTTTCTCTCGTCAGCGCAAACGCCATTCTGCAGGGAACCTTCGTAGAAAAAATTAGATGGGAATCGCGAAAGATCAGGATGCATACGATATTGTACTTCCAAACGGAAAGGTCTAATTCCCAACACCACCAGTCTTTCAAACAGAGATTGTGACAAACCAGCTCTGGCGGCTTTTTTACACATCACCACTGGACCCAATTGACAGTGATCACCAACAAGGATCAATTGCTTCGCTCCTAAAACGACAGGCACCATGCACTCCGGTTCGGTAGCCTGCATACTCTCATCGATAAGTATAGAATGAAACTTTAATCGATGCAATCTAGGATCACCAGCGCCTACGCATGTGCAGCAAATTACATCTGCTGCTTCCAGAAGCTCCTTTTCCGCCGCTTTCTTCAAGAGTCTATAACGTTTTTCATCAACGCTTGAAAGTTCGCCAGTCTCGTCCTTCAATTGTTGTAACTTTTGCAATTCAGTATTCGTCTCCATGTTTTTTATCTGATTATGCAATGCGAGGAAACTCACCGGCGAATCAATGGCCTCTCGTGATTTGGCACATAATCGTACGACTTTCAGATTTGATTTATGTATCTTCTCGGTTAATTGATCGACAGCAGTATTGGAAGGAGCGCATACAAGAACTGGACCACCGTTTTGTTTTACCAATTGATAAACTATGGTAGCACTCGTTACGGTTTTACCTGTTCCAGGTGGTCCTTGAATCAAAGACAAGGGTCGTTGTATTGCATGTTTTACAGCGTACACCTGCGATCTATTCAAATCGGGTAAATTTGGCGCACTAAAGTGCTTAGGGAGATGACAACGGAACAAAACTTCTTCTACTTCATGACCTAGTAGTCTATGATATATGTAAGCCGATACGGATGTGTCATCAACAGCAAACTTGCGTAATGCAGACTGCATTCTACAACAGAAAATAAAATAAAAAAATACTTGTTAAAACCATATAATCATACAGAAAACAGTATCGATATTCCAATTCCGCATCAATGATTCTTACCTATCAAAACTCGTACTCTTCCAAATGAAATCAACAACGAAGTTACTGACGCATTCTGTTGGCGCTCCAGAATTATTTTTCAATTCAATTCCGACTTCTTCCCCGTAATTATCCGGGATCTTAATCACGTGTCCAATTCCGGACCAAGGTTTATGAAGTTCTCCCAAGTAACGGAGTCTCAATTCGTCTCCATGCATCAATTTCATATCACCATCCGTTTTAGCTAGCAAAAAGTATGCAATAGTCTTCTTATTTAATCCAACATCCCACCGTACTTCAATATTCTCTTGAGTTTGAGATTCTTTTAACCGTTTGTCATAATCAGCTTCCAATTTTACAAGCGGACCAAAAATATTTTGATACTGATAACCATCCTCATAGCGTAACAAAACTTGCTGCGGTTCCTCATCTACTCCAGGCTTTTCAAGATCTTGGAAAGTAGCATCGACGTTGTCTCGCCATAACTCCTCCAATTTATTAATCTGCTGTGCTGAGATCTGTCTAGCTCTCAACTGCTCTTGTTCAGATGGAATTTTCACTAGCCAAGATAAAAAGCTACGATCTTCAATCAAAGGTTTCCATTGCTCTTGATCCCTAAATATTTTCAAAAAATATTAATACACATTCACAATTATATTGGAAACATTAATGATTTATATATGTATACATAAATGCCACGTTCTTTATATGTAACATGTAACTTAAGTAAAGACAAATTCACTCTTACCAATTCATATCTTTCAAAGAACTCTGTGCCGCACATGGTTGGCGACAAAGCAGCACAACTACAGAATCAGCTCTAGCAGGAATAAAACCCAATACAAAAACATTTCTTGTAGCACAGGAATAACATTCCAAAACAGTTTCTCCAAGAGGGCCATCTCTGTAACAAAAGTTATTAATAATTTCTTATAACTAAAAAATTTTATAGAAATAAACAGATGTAAAAATACAATGTTTTAAGCTGTCTGTACATGTTTATAATACATTTCTAGATTCTATAACATAAACATATGAGAATATAAAAAGTAAATCACCTGTGTAACGTAACTTCCTTGTGTTTAGCACGAACAAGATGATTGATAATATGTGATCCTGATGTATTACCGCGTCCATTGCAGAACCATTTTCGGCAAACATTACACATAACCACGCATGATGCCTCGTGGATACCGCAATATTTACATGCATATTCAGGTAAATCACGATTATAATATGCTTCCTCTTCCTCTTCCTCAAATTGCAACTCGGCAAGGCTTTGGGCTGCTCCAGAAATTTTTAAATCCAACGATGAAGTACCATTTGTTCCATTTACCTAAATAAAAATATAATATCATAAAAGCAAAAAAAAAAAAATACCAAAATATCAAAATTACAAAAAAAATCAGTGATAAATGATTAAAAATTTGTAGAATAAATGTTTTTGAAAACAAGTTATTCAATGTATGTGAATAAAAAAATTTCTGTGCGAAAATAAAATTGGAAATATCTTATCTTTTCTACAAACAGGAAGATTTCTCTCGCGAAATTATTATTATGCAAGATGCTACCGGGATTTTATTCATTTGCAAAAGAAATTAATCTTTTTGTCAAAGAATTAAGTACATCAAAAATTTCATTTATCTAGTGTCTTTTAATAAAGTTAAATACGCGTACTATGAGATTTTCCGTTTCATTACATATCTAAGGTACGAAAGTGTAACTTGCGTAACTTCGCAAAATTCTGTCGCAAATCGACACACTTAACCTCGCGTTCACAACTGGCTGCGAGAGCGACCCACACACGACAGATGTCGATTCATCTCGTGTGTTTCTTCAGCGAGCGATTAAAGTCATTTCGGTGACGATGTGCTAGCTGGGAATCCGCGAGATTTCGATATCGAGGAAAAATGCGAGGTCACGGAACAAAGATAAGAGACAAAGCGGAAACTCTGCATTAGAGAGCGGTCGCTTTCGTCGCCGCACCCCTTGACAAGCGTGCGGCGTGAGGTTAGGCCGCGTGGCCACGCGAGGAATTCGCTCTCCGGGGATGCTTTTAGCGAAAATTGGCGGACGAGCTTATAATATAACGAGACTAAAGAATACATTACTACTATTCATCGACTCGACCGACCTGAACGGGTTGACTGGACTGTGTCTGGGTCGCGTCGTGTTGCGAGGCCTGGGTCTGACTCTGCGACGGCAACGTTGAAGTCGAGAAGTCGAATTCGCTGCCCTGAGTATCCGCGCCGATCAGGTCCGTCTCCTCGGTGTCGAGAAACGTGAGGGTCTGGCTGCTACGCGTCGATATTCGCACCATTCGCACCCCCGCACGGCAGGGACAGAGTTGGCGGTTCGCGCGCACGTTTTCTCGAGCGTGACAACGCGTGACCGAACGAGCGGATACGCCCTTTCCCTTACTCCTTGTAACGTTTATTCTCTATTCGCACCCCCGCACGGCAGGGACAGAGTTGGCGGTTCGCGCGCACGTTTTCTCGAGCGTGACAACGCGTGACCGAACGAACGATACGAGCGGATACGCACAAGAGAAACGAGCACTGATCGACTGAGTCCAACCGGAAAATGGATCGCCAGCTCCTCAATCTCCTACGCCGTACGTTGCTTTTCGCACCCCACCTACGGATACCGATACGTGCACAATACACAACTGCACGAAACTTTCTTCCCGCACGCGAGAACGCTCGTCGTATGTTACGTCATCAGCTGATCAGGCGAACGAGTGCATCGAGAAATAGCGAGTAAACGGAAGCAGCCCAGCGAACCTCCTTAGGGCGACTTTATATAGAGATAAACTAACGTATGCGCCGATAATATCCCGTCGATGACCAATGGCGATTCGAGTTGCCGCCAAGTCGGTAAATTATTGGATAGAAAGAACGCGTACCGTTATGTGTAGGTGGCGCTAGCGTATGTGATTACCGTTTTCTCGAAAATTCGAAAATCGGCGCCGTCTGCCATTTATACGGAATCTCCGGAATCGTCGGTACGCATCCAGAGCAAGATATAAATCGATAAGATATCGAGGAATTAAATTACGTACCTTAGGATACGCAACGAGACGCAGAGCATCGGGATTGTTTTCGAAGGTCAGTGTACTACATTTCTTTCTAAATCTTTGTTCGACGCGTTGTTGACGAATTCGAAAACTTCCTGCTTTAAATCGTACTGCTTATACAAGAAACGAGATCACTGGCGACCGGATGCGAAATAAATATTTGTTTAAATTACAGCTTATTAATTTTGAGAAAGCGATATATCAATATCTCACTGTGTTATACGATACAACGCAATGATGCAAGCATCGCACGATTATTATTTCCACACATGCACAAGGTTAGTATCTTAGTTTTTTTTTTAATTTTTCACGATAAACATTTTAAAACAAATCAGCCTATGCTATTTTTGCTGATATTGGAACTATTATCAGATCTATTGTTTCTAGCTATGCATTTTTTTCTTCTTTATTCTCTGGGAAAATTTAAAAAAACAGACGTTATAATTCATATGCCACAGAGTTGCTTTTCGGAGAATATTTACTGAAAAGAATTTGATTATCTCTAAAACTTGTATTTATAATTATATAAACATTTCGCAATTGTTTAGCTGGCACTAATTAACGTTTATTATATGTTGCTTGCAATATATGATTCATAAACATTTATCCTTTTTCCGAAATAGTTCCAATTAATGGCGGCAAATTGTTGAAATTAATGCAATATGTAAAACTACTTCAGATCATAAATTTGATTATCACAAATGTTTAATTGCCGTTAAAAATAAACAAGTCCGAATTCATACGATACGATCGAACATTTTTAGATTCGCTAATATCCCATAAAATATTGTCGGCAAATAAATTTCTGACACAGAAATATCATCGTTGACACAAATAATGCGCGAAAGAAGAAATAAAGGAGTTATAAACATTTATTAACTAGAATCTATGTACAGATTTTCTCTCACAATCGCTTAAAGATTATACTCTATTTTAAAATTGAATATATATTTCATGCGCGATTTCACTTTGTCGAATCACTACACTAACTTTTATCGTACGAAGAATCACTACTTGTAATTTGTACAAATGTAATAATTTACGTGATGCGATAAAGTTATGTATATATTTCAAGTCTACACATGGAAGAGAAATAATACTCCTAAAATAGAGTATAGCATATAGCGTTTTGCTACGCAGTCTTTTATTTGGTTCCATCGGTGCGAAAAGATTTTAAAACGATCTCGCGAGTGAAGCTTTCACAATTGAAAGATCAGTACACGCTTCACTGCAGAGATTTGGCAAATTTGAAGAATTAAAATATATTCTTTTGTGTGAATATAAAAATTAAATTAAGATTTATATATTTACACATGTGGGCACGCAACGATGTTTAAGACGATTCATCTTTAACATAGCTAAAATTTTTATAGTTCATTATACGAAATTTATCGAGGATAATATTTCTGCTTTTCGGCAGATATTCCTTCATCTTTTTCTTTTACGCACTGTTTATTCTCTCGCTCTACGGTTTTAAATTACGTTTTTGTAATATACAGAGTGTCTCAGGGTTTTAACATTTTTGTTATAACTTTGTAATAAAGCTTTCTTATCTTTCTATGCTTATATATAACATTTTTTTCTTAGTGTTATCCATAGAAAACATTGGCAGTTTGGCCGTTAAAACCTGGGACACTTTGTACATATGATAGATCTGATATATTATAAAACATCGATATAAAAGCTCAACGACCATATCGCTTTTTTTTTTTTTTTAATGTTTATCGCGCAGAAATACACAATGTATACACGTTATATATATTGTAATACCTATTTACAAGTCTTAGAGTGCGATTTTACTTAACGTTTGTCGACATTGTCGGATGCAATGATTGGCTCTTAGATGAAGAATTCTTAGAATCTCGATAGAGATTCTAGAAATTCTTTACTCGATATCCAATCATCCGATAACGTTGACAAATGTTAAGTAAAATCTCACCCTTAAGATTTATTGATGCCTCATCATCGATATAAGTAGTATTGGTCCAATATTACTTTCACATTCTATAGAACAAAGTAGGAGTTCGCAGATACTAGAATAGGTTCCACAGAACTGATCGCTGGGAATAATATACTTTATAGCAGAGTATAACATGTCAAGACGAACTCTCGCATTTAATTTAAATGTAAAGAAGGATCTTATTAAAGAGCCTGAGATTCTTAAATATTTAACGAAAAGCTATATTTCTCGTCAGAAATGAAATAATTCGCTAATCGCGATAGCGTCCGACTCGATTTCTTGATCTACAGTCAATACTGAGGATTCGGCGAGTTTCTTTGGAAGTTGTTCTGCGCGCTCTGACTCTGCTGAAGAGGCCCGGCCGGACTTGGTCTACCCTGATCGCGGTATTGCGGTGGTCCGGGCATTTTGCCGTAATTTCCTCGCGTGCAACTCTGATAGCTGCCGTAAGCGGAATCGTCACTGCGCCTCGAAACGTGGCCGTACATACTCTCGGGTCGTCTGGTGTTTGGCCCGTTATCCGAGTTACTCGACAACGGTCCGTTTTGATGTTGTTGCTGCTGCTGCTGTTGCTGTTGCGGTGGTTGTTGCTGCTGCGGCGGTGGCGGTGGCGGCGGATGATTCTGTATCGATGTTTGACCGCTACTTTGACCGGACTGCTGCGAATTCTGGCTGCTTGGTGGTGGTGCCGGTGCACGACCGTAGATGCTGGAACCAGTCGATACGCCGTAGATACCATTCTCCCGTGTGCTAAGACTCGTGGAGATCCCGCGGATGCCGTAAATGCTCTGCGTGCACTGTTGCAATTGATTTTGCATGTTCTGATTAGTGCTGTTGTGATTCTGCGACGTCTGGGTTGGCGGACCGCTGGGTACGGGTTGACTCTCGCGGTTACCACCGCTCTGACAGCCACCGTTCTGACCAAGTCTGATAGGATACAAGCTCTGCGCCGGCACCAGGGGGCCCGGCTTCGGGATCATCAGACCGTCTCGCGGGCCCGACGTCGATTTCGCGTAGACGCTCTGCGAGCGATTCAGATTGGCGCGTGTCAACGGTGGTGATTTGCAGTAGAGCGATTTGGTGCCACCGTAGATCGACTCGACGCGCTCCAACGCGGAGGGTGGTGCGCTGTAAATCGACGACGACGCGCCAGCTACTGGACGATAGGTCGCGTACGCACCGGGAAACTTGGGCCCGTTCGGTTTGTCCAGATCGTCGTACGTATCCTCGTCGGATCTCATGGACGAATTATCGCCGTCGTCTATGTCGCGCGAATCCTTCGCGGGTCTGGGACTTAGGACGTACTCGTGAAGCAGAGCCGCCACGGCGCCTCCTGAAAGTGGGCCTACCCAGTATACCCAATGGTTGTCCCAGCGGTTCATAACGAAGGCCGGGCCCAATGCGCGCGCTGGATTTAGGAAAGGACTCTGAAAAAGATGTAAAAAAGAAATTATTAGATAATTAATAACGGTGCAAACATTTAAAAATAATTCTTATTAAATCATCTTTACATCTTTGTTAGAAAATTTTTAGAATATTGTGAAATATTATAAATATATAATAATAATATATAATTGCTATATTCTCTCTCTCTATCGAATTATAATATTTAATTTTACATATACTCTGATATAATATTTTATAATTTTTGTACTGAATGAAACACAAAGAAATAGGCGAATATAGGTAATGGATATGTACATAGAAAATTTGCACTGAACTGACATGAGTAATGAACATATTTGATTTTGCAAAAGAATCTACATTCAACACTTGTAAAAGGATGGTTTCGACAATTTTTCGTTTTGGAGTGCATTGTACACTCGTTTCGGAGCAGGTGGGTCCAGGATCAAGTTCTTTCTTTCACCTTCCTGCTCAGTGTGTTCTCCACAACCCCACCCTTCTCATCCGTCCAACGGCAGGTGCTCTTTAAAGATGCGGACGTCGGCCCGATTGGAAAGAGTCCGAGAGAGACGCTTTTAGATAAAGAATGGTTGCAAAAGAGAACATGCACGACGGAAGAAAAAACACGGTTCTTTTATCCAGTTACGGTTATGTATTTGCACAGAATAAGAATAATAATTATTAAATAATCTTACTGATTTAATAATTAAAAAATGCATCTCAATTGTCTCATTTGTCCATAATAATTTTTTAATGAAGACGATACGGTTAAATGATTATAAAAAAAAGAACTTACGGAAACGAGAGTGGCCGCTGTATAAGCTGCAGCCAAAACCGCGGAAGCCTTTGAAGAAATCGAAGGTGGCAATGATCTGGATGAATCCGCAGCGAAATGGGCTAGTATGACAAACACTGACAATGCTATCTCGACTAAAAGCCTCTCGATTGGACCTCCTAGCCGACCAGGGGATGTTAGGGTCTGCGTATTCGAAGGTGTAGTTACTCTGAAATAAAAAAAGATATGCTATGTATTATATTGATTATATAACAAATATCACACATAGTTACAAAGTTACAAAAAGAAAACTAGTTCAAAATGCGAGATAGAAAACATAAAAATTATTTTTTTAGAACGAGAGAAAATTATGGATCGCCAAAAATGATCACATATGGTCTCTTGTACGACGGTATCACTAGTATGTGCGAGTTATGCAACTGCGGTGTAATATACGATGATTTTCCTATTGAAGCTTGCCGCGAGACATGCACCCCGCATAGAAACCCCCTGCGATAAGTCGGTCCCAGCGGTGTAATGTTTATATTAGCTAGTGCATCCTGCAGCCCTTAAACGCGACCCCGATGTTCCTCTCGTGACGTCCCTTGCATAAAATTCTCGTTGATTTTCTCAGCTCATATAATCATATAGGGTCGCAGAGATATGACCTTCAATCATCTCCCACGAGTATATTCAATGATTGTATTTCACACAGTTTTTCGCGAACTCAAGTTTATTTATTAAAATTCTTTGATAGTGAAAAAATATACATGTTACTGCCGCGTTATGATATAATTTGATATAATTATGATATGTTACAATCAAACATTAATGCAACATCGAGTATATCTGTCAAAAAAATTTGAGAAAATTAATTTAAATTCGATTTTTTCTCAAGCTTTTTAAAAAATGAATTAGAGATTGTTGCGCTGTAAATAGAAAAAAAATATTGGAATCAATTCGTATATTTTTCTTGTTTTAATCGGATTCTAAGAAAGATTTTTTCTCTATTGCTTTATTTTTTTCCATTTACTTATTCGACAATATTGACTAGGCCTTTTTTAATGTTTTCTTTATTCTTTATCTTAATAATAAAATTTTATTCCTGTTTATATATGCATAGACTATGCACTCGATTT